CTGCTTATAATTTACATCATATGTTTTTTTTTTTTTTTACATATTTAGGTATTTACTTCATGGATCATATTAATATAAACTATGTGCAAACTTATGGTTTATTTTTTTAAAAATAAGTACAAATATTAATAAGAACAATATAAAAATATAATAAAATATTTGTTTAGGTACCTAAATTTTTCTTCTACTTTGTAGTGTAGCAAATTCATTGATAATATCATCAAATTCAATTTTAGCTGTTACATCAAATTCTATATTCATAATAGCTAAATCACTGAGTCTCTCTGCTGAGATACAAGACCTCAGATATGTTTTGACACGTTTTAAACATGAGAATGACCGTTCGGTCGAGCAATTACTTGCAGGAGTACATAATAGCATTCTGAGAGATACATCTATATAAGGGTACATTCCTATTAAATCATTTTTTCTCAAAACACCACACATATCCTGGATAGTCTTAGGAGCCTCGTCACCGATACTTAATAAGTGGCTCCTAAAATGAACACATTCATTAGCAAATAAAGTACTGAGATCATCTTTATATTCATTTTGTAGTATTTCAGCATTCTTTCGGACTTTAATTGATGTCATCTCTGTTAATTTGAAAAAGAAGTTGTAATTTTTAAGTAGATTTTCATATTTTTCATTTCTTTTTTCTAGTTGTGACCGCAGTTGATCCAGTATAACAAAATAAGTTTTCACTTTAAAATCAGAGTATTCAACTGTTGTTTCTTTAGATGGCCCTTCATCAAAAAATTGTTTTCTTATTTTTAATCGTTTGGTACAGGATTGAAACTGCTTAATTTTACTTTTTTCAATTGCACATTGTTTAAAATACTGATAGTTTTTATCAGAGCGTAAATCAATGATATATGTTATTAATGATTTATACAATTCACACACTACACCCAAATCGATATTGACAGCTTGTAATTTCTTGCTCGTTAAGTTGAATCGGTGTAATATTTGACCCCAGAATATAGATAGGAATGCAGTTTCTAAATTATTTAACTTGTTGAGAATTCCACTAGCTTCATTTCGAGTAAGTGTTTTCTCAGTATCATCATTATTTAATAAATTTAATGCATTAATAATTAAAGACCAGTTTTTGTTCAGAGATTGGCAAGCGTCATCTCTAGCAGACCATCTTGTTTCTGAAAGTCCCTTAACAGAAGCGTTTAGAACTTTCCAGCGGTGAGTAGAAGCTGTGAAAAACGTGTAAACATTTTGAAGTAAATTTAAGAATAAAACGGCTTGAGTACAACAATCAACTGCATTAGTTCTAACCAGGTTAAGGGAATGCGCAGAGCATGGTACAAATTTTGCTAAGGGATTGGCTTCTTTTATTTTTGCTTGCAGTCCGGCGTAATACATTAGTTGTTTTAATTTCAAACAGCATAATACATTAATATTATATAATACCTACTGTTGTCTGTTATTAAAATAATTTACATTTTAAAAGTTCATTTTTCATTTTATTTTTATTAATTTTTTTATTTCCGACCACAAAATTTCGGCGCCCCCAAAATACTGGCGCCCCGGGCAGTTGTAGCCAGTGCCCCCCCCTAAATGCGGCACTGGATTTTATGCCGTGTGGCGTGTATAGCAACTCATTTATAAAGTAGGTATAAATAAATTCAGATCGAATTAAAAGACTATGGCCAATTTGACTATTTTATTCCTGTCAAATTAGACGAATAATTAGGCTTTAGCTCGTAAAAATTAGCACCAAGCCAAATTTCGGTTTATATAGGATATTTATTTTGTAAATTGATTGAATTTCGTATACCGCACGGTAGAACTTCCGGAAAATAACGAAATTATAGTGAATACAATATTATGAGTAATGAGTAGGTACTAGCCAACGTGATTGTTTCTAAGTTTAGTATTATTTTATATTTCAATAATTTGAATTTAAAAGAAAATTTTGGGAATAATATGTATTGTATAATATATTAATATTTAATACCTAAACATACTATAACAGAATGGCTTGAAAAAAATTACACTACTTATATGACTACAATCATGAAAATGTCTTGGATCATAAATGATTTAAGAAATATTCGCATGTCAGGAAATTTCTAAAAACAATATTTTGAAAAAAGTTATTACTTTTAAAATTAATTTACTTCAAAATAATAATATTTAAACAAACTTAAAAAAATAAGCTACTTGATTTAAATATACGTTTTTCTTTATCAAAATTTGTTTAAAAATTAGATTTACAAATTGGGTACTTATTTTAAATTTTTCAAAAAAAAAAATTAGGTAGGTACATATTATATACAATTTTAGATTCCGTGCGGAGTGATGAATGTATTGATTTCCAATCATGTGTGTTTTTTTTAATTTTAAATTTTTAAATTGTTGTGTCTGCCGTCACAGTTTGGGGTAGTAGAACTGCTATTATTTTCTTCAACAGTATCTTGTTCGATGGGCTGGTGAATTAAGTTAGTGCATTCGGGAGGCCAAAATTTAAAATTTCCAATAGTTTTCAAAAGAAAATTAAGAAAAAACAGGAATTTTTACGCCTAATAGGTTTTTGACAAAACGACTTTACATCAAAAAACTTTAATACATCAAATTTTTACTGAATGTTTATATTAGAATTTTCTATGAACCATAACATTTTCAAGTTTTATTTTGAGCTGTTTTCGGACATTTTCAGTTTCGATTTTATTTTTTTCTCTCTAAATATCAATAAAATTCTATTTGTTGGGTAAAACTCTTGAACATTTAATTGAAGGCTCCTAATATATTTTTTCAAAGGAAGATGAAAAATATTAAAAATCCGTCGCAGAATTCTTATTTTTTAAGCATTTAAAGTTCAAATATTGACCAAATACGCAAAAATGACAAAAATTCACAAATTATTTTTAGCTAGAAATTCATAAAAGTTTTTATTTTTAAAACTCAGATTTGAAAATGTAATACAAGATTCATCATAATTTTGTCTACTTTTGTCAAAAAAAAATTTCTACCAGAAAGTCAAATAACATTTTTATGAGCGATTGAAGTTTAAATTTTTTCAACATTGAATATTCACTCGATTTCCTTATTTTTTAGTCATTCAAAAATTATTAATTGTAAATTCATGAAAATTTCACTGAATATCTGTATTCTCATTTTCTATACACCATAACAATTTTGAAAAATCGGTATAGTCCTATATAATGTGATTATACGTATCTACACGAGAAGAGTCCCCCCATATAAATTATTTAATGTATAGTTATTTACTGAGCACACAAATCTAATGTTTGGTGAGGACATTCCGGACCACTCTGTATACATATATGTATCTTCTCCCCTATACCTAATACGGAAGTGTACGGTTGCGAGGAGGGCGTCTTATCATTATTATTATATAGGCATAATAATATACAAATATAAACCTACCTGTAAAGGCGAAAACGCACTCAAGACATTCATGACTTATATACACCATAAACAATATAAGTTTCACCTTTCACCTACTCCTCCTCCCTGGTGCTCCTACCACCGCCGCCGGGGCTTTTATGGCCAAACTCGGAGGCGCAGAAGTAGCGGGCACGCGTTTTCCGGAAATACCGACGGGAATAGAGACGTTTGATATATTTCCCCGGTTTTTATATATATAATATTATAATATATACGTTTCGCGTCTGCAATAAATCAACGGACGCGTCGCTGGAGACTCGCAACAAACGGACATTCCTGCAGGGACGTCCGATAAAGTATAACGCAATAATATAATATAATAATAATAATAATATATGTTATCAGTGTAAAAACTACTGTAGGCTAATGACCTAGTAGTCGAAGCCTTATCTTTAATAAAAAAAAAAAAAAAAAAATAATAATATATATAATTACAATATACGTTTTCCGGACGCGTCCCCTGTACTATTATATAGGTCGGCGTGGGTGGGCCTGCACGTGACAGTCGGCCGATTCCGAGCCAAGTCGGCCGCCGAGTTTAAATGATAATAATAATAATAATAATATACTCGAGAATAATATAGGTAGGTACTCGGTGTATATACCGTACACAGCCGCCGCCGTCACGGAGTCATGACGATACTATTTGTGCATAATTATTATTAAATATCACGAAAATATTCTCAGCGGCACTGTCCCGCAGGGGTGTCGTGGTAGGGATCACGGAATTTTATTATGATAATATTGTTGTTATTATATTTTCACTCGGTGTCGTTGATTTATGGCTCATCCGGTGGTTGTACGATTGTTTTATTTTTTATAATTTTTTTTTTCGCTCCATTATATTATATTTTTGTGTCCACCCAGTATAATTAACGGCGCGATAATGCGTAATCCGGTCGTATACAGGCAGGTAGGTAGGTAGGTAAGCTCGTATCGTCTTGATTTGCACAAATGGGCAAGGCCGCCCGCAGAAATTTTTCTCGGGAGGGTGCAGCGAAAAAATAATACACTTACCATAAATTCTGTTTTTTATATCACATCGTAAAAAGAAATTATTTATATTATTACTAGCTGCCCGATCTTCCTCCGGAAGGAATTATTTTTTTAAAATTTAATTTAAAAACATGACTATTTTTTGGCTATACAAACAATATAATATAATTTCATATTGTAGTTATTATTATTAGTAATTTCTGAAAATTTGATATCCTACATTTTGAATTCAACCACCGGAGTGGTAAATTGTATTCTTTTTATTATATAGAATAGAGATAAGGTATAAAAGAAGGTAACAATAAATTATTTGTTCAGTTAATAATATATATATTTCAAATAGAAAAATGCAAGTGCAAACAAATAATTAATAATAATAATATCAATAATAACAATAATAAATAAACAAACAAATGGAATATTTCGTTTGAATTTCAATAAATGACAGAAGTTACTATATAAACAATAATAAAATTAATAATCAATTGTCCGTATGCATAGTCAATGTATGTGTCACATAAGACGTGTTAAGCTGTCTTATTTGACACATAAATTGACTATGCATACGGACAAATGTCTTATTGCCTTCTACTAATAATTCTATTTTCTACTGCTTGACGTTCAAGATTTAATCTGATTTTTTTAAATGTAAGTTCATTAATTTCATTTTGCAGTTGTTCTTGGAGGATGTATATCTCGTCTAAACGACGCTTCGTAGACTTTTCGTCTTCTATTATTTGTGAAATAACCTTGTCATCTACTGATGTTAAATATGCGTTATCTATTATTGGAAAAAAAAATACAATACACATTATAGAATGTTGCTATGTAAGTCAATTTGTGTAACCTATTTTAAAAACCAACCTGATTGATTTAATGTAGTGTTATCGATTGACGATGATTGTGTTAAATCCATTCTATCGACTTGATATCGGCCCTCCTTTTTATACCATTCTTTTAACACCTCTTTTTCAGGCCAATTAGGGTTAATTTGTATAACAGTAGAATGCGTTACAGATAATTTTTTCCCTTTTTTATAAATAACTAATTTACTCTTCTCAACTGATAGAACGTCTTCTATTTGTCCAGTAAATAAAGAAGCTTCTTCGTTCCATAGCGTAAGTGTTATCTAAAATAAAATATAACATAAAATCATTTATAGGTATTTAAAATAGATAAAATGTCTATTGTAATACAAAACCTACTTACCTCGATTCCAGTATTATCTGCTATTACAACATCTCGTAGTTTCAGTGTTTTGGTTGGCTTTACAATGTCTACTATGTCTTCTATGCGAATTATTACTCCAATAGTGTCTAGAAAGTAATCAAGTAGTAAATAAAATTAATTATAACGCGGAAGACTATAGCCTATATAATATATAATAATGTGTATACATACCAACTATCGCATCATTATTTAATGATATAATACTATCAAACGTCATAAGAGTGACGTGTGTTGGAACTACATCCGATGTATCTTCTATTTGAGTAATAATTGTCATAGGTCCCATTATAATTTCATTATTATGATTAAGGCGATTGTATAATTTATTAGATTTGTTAATTTTTCCATTTGAAATTCAAACGAAATATTCCATTTGTTTGTTTATTTATTATTGTTATTATTGATATTATTATTATTAATTATTTGTTTGCACTTGCATTTTTCTATTTGAAATATATATATTATTAACTGAACAAATAATTTATTGTTACCTTCTTTTATACCTTATCTCTAAAAAAATAAAAATTATAATTCAAAATATTTATACAAATTTATAATAGTTATTAATATGAAATAGATTTAAATATGTATATTGAATATCAAAATTTATTATTACCTTTTTGAACATTTTTGGTTTTCTCCCATACATGGAGAATTTGGATTCATATGACCACATGGCCCATGTACCATGTGTTTTTTAACTATTTCAAATAATTCAGGATCTATTTCGGGGTTTGGTAACTCAGCACTTATTATATCATCGACATCATTTGGTCTAATTTTATCAACTAACCAAACCAGTAAATGAGCATGAGGAAGACCTTAAATAATGAATCATTATACGTAGAAAAATAAATAAATAATAGTATTCATTTATTACCTCGTTTTTGCCACTCAACAGTATACATATAACACTGAGTTTCACCAAATATACGATGTTTCACAATTAAGTTCATTAGAACTTTCATTTTTTGATGAAAAACTCTAGCGATAATATCGTGTCTGTCTTGTGCAGTTTGACCATGTTTGAGTTCTCTTTTTATTTCCATCCAATTTGGATTACATGTAAATGTAATGAACAAATTTGGAGTTCCAAAATTACAAACGTAAGTCATGGCATCCATCGTTTTTTCGTGCATGTATCTAAAAATCAATAGTATGTACAGACGTACAGTTTTAGATTATTAAAATTATTATTACACACAACACACTGCAGTACATTTTTCGTAGCAATTTTAAGTTATAAGATACAAAATATTTTACTACCTTGGACCTCCTGTAAATGAAGAAGGTAAAATAAAAAGTTGTCCAATGTCATTCACATGACCATCATTTTCTATAGCATCACGTAAATGAATGTAATCTTCCGCTCTTAATTTTGACTGATTATTCCGTATAAATAAAAGTCGTTCTGATTCTATTTTGGCATACATATCAACCTTTCAAAAAATTAAAATTAAAAATTACATTTATTTGTATTATTATAATATTTATACATGTTTTTGAAAAACATGTTGAAAAAAGTTGAAAAAATATTGTTTACTTACCCAATATTTATTAATAAGTTGTCTATAATTATGTAAATGATTGTAGATATCATGCCTCACCATCAGCCTATACGCATAAAACTGTTTTGAAGAGATAGTTTTATGACTATTGTATTCATTTAAATTAACATTAAATGACAAAATATCAATAGCATAACCATCTTCACCGTGTAGAAATATCAGTGGATATTCAAGAGAATCGTAAGACCTAAAAAACACATAAATAAAAATTAAGAAAAAATGTATAGTGTATACATTTTAAAAGGAATTTACCTATGAGTTTCACTTATTCGTTGTAACTTTTCATCTTTTCTAGATAAAACTATATCACGATTTCCATATTCTTCTCCAATCATTACTACAGCCATTTCTACTTGAGTTGGTGCATTAAATCTACCTCTATGTTGACCTTGAGGAACCATATTTGCATTTATGACTATTCGGTATTGATCAGTGGGCATATGATCCAATGCAGTTTTGAACTTCGTAATTAAAGGATTGATATTATGTAACAATAATTGCAAATCTCTTATAATATCTAAATGTATAAATAAATAAATTAAAACGTTTTAAACAACAAATATATACAATATACAATTACCTTTATTCAATCCACTGCAAATACCCATTCGAGCATCAATTTGTTCCTCTTCGTCATCCATAAAATAAACTTGTAAATATTTATGATTTGTATTTGGTAAAGGCATCAACGATCCGGCTAAATGATATACTTGACCTCTTATTTTAAATGTAGGCATATAATTTTCCACAATAGTTTCTGCTGCTCCAAATGACGTCATATGAAATGCATTGTTATATTTAGTAATATTTTCTAAAAAGTGTTTTGAAATATTTGTTGAACTTTCCAAAAGAGTTTTCATTGGTTCTGGTGGTTCATCGATATTGGGAATACGAAAAGTTCCATTTGAACAACACATACCAGCAGATTCTCCTTTAATTAAGAAAAAAATATAAAAAGTTTTCAAAATTCTAAAAATGTATACACTAATAATCTACCTTTGAATTTCATTGCATTGCAATATTGACAAATTACATCCATTACACCGATACAAACATCATCGTCGTCATAATATGGATGCTTAGGATTGTATAAATAGGCAGACCGGAATTTTACCCACTTGAAAGGTATATCACCTAAAGTATATGAATTTATAATAATTAATAATAAATAGTAGTGAAACATAGGTGAAGTATAATAAACAGATATATTATTTAATAATGTATATATACCTGACGCGGCCCGCGTTAGTAGCAAGTACAATGTACAAGCACTATAGCGACCAGTCTATCTTATCTCCAACCACCACCACGGGATGCAAGCAGCGCGACCGGGTTGACTCTCCCACCGAGCCGGTAACGGCAAGGTGGGACGGGGGGACTGTGTCGCGTAAAACGTACAACGGTCGGCGGAAAAGTCAATTCGAGATCCACCATCGGACCGTCGGACCGATAACATATCGTCCGACGTTAAACTCATCTGCCCGAGCGGCACGTCATGTATTGTTATATTTTGGTCGCAATATTATAATACATAATTTGTGACATTCTTAAAGTGTTTGTGTTGTGTTTATTTCATCACCTCAATCCTAACCAAACACTTCGACCGGACCACGATCAACCTTGAAGCAATCATCGTGTCCGCGTCATACCACATACCAAATAATGTGGGTTCAGCATTTGGTCTTAACCTCTTACGCTGTGTATTAAAAAACATATTGGTTTCAAAGTGACAATTACACACTCTAAAGTTTTTATTATTCGTACGAATATGGTTTTCACGTTCCAATAAATCGGTCCTGTTGCAACTATTAAGCCATTGTATTAACCTATAAGTATTTAAATCATTAGGTGGGTACACATTATAGAATTATTAATTACAATTATTAAGTATTAGCTGTTATTAAATACCTCTCTCCTCCATTTGGAATTGCATACGATGAAATTGCCTGAATGCAATTTGAACGATTTTCACAATGGAAAACGATGCACCTTTTATTACTCATAATAATGAATATTATTATTATTATAATAATTATTATTATTGAATTAATAATATATTTAAATCACACTTGAAAAAAAAAATTAGATCTGTTAGTAACGCTGTACAACAATCGACTGAAGGTTTGGAGTTGGAGATGTCGATCTCATCGATCGAATAAATAAAGGAATGCACTTGCGTATTAGAAACATTATTATAGGTCAATTATAAAGTAAACAAAAAAAAGAAAAAAAAAGAAACAGATATCGTTATTGGTGAATATATTTTTTAATTGGTAATTAGGTAATCTAATTATACATATTATTATTATTATTATTATGAGAGGAAGCGCTTAGGTAATAGACTCTCAAAACCGGTTTCCTTCGTCTCCAAAATCAAGTTAGATTCTTATTATATAGATTATGGCTCAACAATTAAAATATAGTATGACATATAAAATTAATGATGTTAGTTAGCATGAGCAAAATGTATACAAAAAGATAAAATAACAACGTATTTATATAAACTAAAGTTAATAAAGATAAGTAGTTGTAGGTATGGTCTGATATACGATGAAAAGATAGATAAAAAGGGAAAAATGTATAATATTATGTTGTTGTTATAAATAAGCCTGTATAATAAAAAATGAAAAAAAATAATTAATAATCGATAATTCATGACTCATTGATCATTATCGTCAAATAAAAATTGAACACGCCGTGGTTCCATGCAGAAAAGCTTAATAGTATCTTCAACAATATCAGATTGTGGACTTTTTAAAATATCACTATGAATGTGCATAAGTGCTAAGCCATTCAAGCGGAGTTGTGTCATACTACTGCGAAGCCACGTTTTCAATTTTTTAATTGAGCTATAATATAAAGCAAAAACAAAAATGTCATTCTCAATGGATTGAGAAAAGTTCAAATTTTTCAAAATCTTCTGCAAATCTATCGTTTAATGAAGTAATTCAAAATAAACCAAGTACCGAATACCTATAGTAATATTGAACATTTTGTGTCACCTTATCAGTTATCGGTCCTCCTTATCGCCCTCCAAGCCTGCTATATAAAATGCAAATAAATGCAATAAAAATTAGGTATTATCTAAATTAGCGGGGGGGCCGTGGCCCTCCCTGCCTCCCCCCTGCGGGTGGCCTTGCAAATGGGTGAAATGGCACGAGATCGGTAAGTTTTTTTTTTACCTCGTTTCGCTGACGACGACGTATATAATTCCGACGAGGGGTCGAGGAAAATAAATACGGAAACAAATACTTTCTGACATTTTAATAACATCGAATCTAGAAACAATATTATATTATTATTATTATTATTATTATACGCATAATAATAATATAATGTAGGTACGAATCACGATCAGAATACGGTTCATACAAAACAAGAACGCGCTGACCCGATATAATATTATAGGTTTGGCGCGCTAATAGCGTTTTCATTTCTGTCAGACGACGGAATTAAACGGAAATAAATTTATTATTTATATATATATATATATAAGGTGGTAGGTGGGTGGGTGGTACAACGATTATCAATTCATTCGATTAACCGAACATTAATTGCGCTACAGTATCAAAGCACACGCACTTCGATGACGGCAAATTGAATACTATATTGTACATTTGTACGTATATATTTTATGCACAATACCATCATACAGGGTGCAGATCTATCGAGTTAACTCACCCCCCTGCCGCTTTTCACCTTAAACAATCAATTTATATGAGTTTTGGTTTTTGGCACTTTTGAGTATGCTCGGGGACCATATTTTCGAACACTTATTATACTTTCAAATGAGATGATCTCTTTTTTTACTATAAATTGTTTAGCAGATTATACAATATGTGAGATTGTACAGATTTATACAATAAGTGTACAAATAAATTCGGACCAATAAAGTTTCTGAATATTATTAACTTCATATTAAACCGAGAATTATTTTAATTGTTTATTATTTTTTTTTATTAGAAATAAACCTCGGCAGCTACGGCCTTTGGCTGATATTTGAAATTATTTTTTACCTAATATTAGTTATTGCAATATTTTTTTGTTTTTACATATATATTAATCGTTTACAATAAGTTTTCAATTTATATTTATTTTATGAAGCTTATAGTGTCTATATTTTATGGTTAAGAGAATTATATTGCTCACGGTCATATGGGATTAAAAACGTATAGGCTACGATGATTAGAAAATTAAAGTAATTAATTTTCATAATTCCACTTATTATACTATAAACTAGGTACTAAAGTATTTTATGTTTGTAAAAAGTATAATAAGAACTAGACTGAATATTACATTATGATGATTATTGTTTTTTATATTATAATTGATCTGCGAAATCTATGGCTACAGGATGGAGGTAACATAAAGCATAAAGTATTTGATACAATTGGGGCACATTAATAATAATAATAATAATAACAATTAGAAGAGTCTAAATAATAAGTGATATTAAATGAAGTAATACATGCAATGTGTATCTATCATATTAATATATTATCGTGTTATATATTTTGTGATCGATGTGTTTTTGTTTTTACGATACGAATTCAAGTAGGTAGTTAGAAGACATCATTCTTTGGTTCTATGTTTGTAGATTCAGCAAGGTGGTCGGAACTTTCCAATGTGCTCCTTTATATCTATTTTATATTTGACGTAAAACTAGTATTAAGTTTATTTTTGGAAACTATATGTATTTAAATTTTTATTTAAATGTATGCAAATAATATGTGTCGTTCAAGTCTACCTAGGTATAGGTATTTAATGAAATTCGAAAAATCAGTTTATTTGAACAAATTCATTATGGTAATGGATAAAATATTGGTGAGGAGTGAGCATGCTGAAACAGGTGTACAAACAAAACAATCGCATAGGGCATAGCAAGCGTATACATTATGCTGACAATGGGTTGATATGTATGTATTGAATAGTTGGTAAAATTGCGTAAATTTCAGTATTACTCCTCAAAAGTTCAAAAACCACTAAAAAACTTAAAATGTCAACATAATAAAGCAATTACAAAAAAAAAAAAAATTAAAATAAAAAAATAATATGTCGTTGTTACATAAATAAAATTCTATTTTTATCGTTGAAGTGTGCAAATTAAATAATATAATAAAGGTATAAAAATTTGAAAATATCAATCAAATAATGTATATATTTTATACTAACAGCTGTAAATCGGGTGTATGTTAATTAATTCTTTTGAAATTCTGGTTTAAGCATCAGAATATTGTAACGAAAAATTATTGATAAAAAGAACCAATACATTTTTAATTTAAAAAATAGTACTTTCGGCACACTAAATTTGTGTTTCATTCCACTGTGTGCCAGGGGGTGCTTAGCACCTCCAACTTATATTAGTTATATTGGACTAAAAATATTGTTTAAAGTAAATCAGAGATGATGGTGTTAAAAATTTTCTTGGTAATAATTATTTGCTGGAAGATCTCATGTGCATGATATAAATATAAGTAGGTATATATATACCTATTCATTGTTTTATTTTTCCGTCTAACTTACAGGAAACTAACCTCACCTAACCTACACGAAACTAACTTAGTGTAGGGGTGGAGGGAGAAATATAGTCGTGCACGTATGCGAGTGTTTTTGGTTATTGTGGACTGTGGAGTGGTGAGCAGGGTAAAATATAGTTACATATGTATGCTAGTGGTTGTGATTTCTGAATTTCGAACCGTATGAATGATAATTATGTATTGTATGATCTTAAATGTAGGTATCTCGAGTTAAACAAATAACGTAGAAAATCATCATACATGGTCATATTGAATAACCTGAATGACGAAAAAAAAATGTAACTGCATACATTAGACTGATTTTGTTAGTGAAATGTTTCTTTTTGTTAATATTTCGAATTTTGTTAGCTATATGTTAAAATAACATAGGAAACTGTAAATAGCGAATATAATATTATGTATAACGGTTTATGATGGCAATGATAATGATAATAATTAGGTACATGTGTTTTTATTGAAATTACAACTTTTGTAAATGAATATAGTATGGAAATAGATAATA